AAAAAAGGGGAAAACACCCCCCCAAAATGTTTAACTCCCCCACCCCCACGTTTACGCGCCTATAAACGTAAATACGCGTCCGGTGCCCCAGCGCGCAAAAATTACAATTGCGCTACACATGTTACATATCGCCGCGAACGTCGCAGTGAGAGCAATCATTTTAGGGCCATCAATCACTGATAACACTAAACTGATGAGCGGTAACAGCTTTTAAAGCGTCGCCTATGGCCAATTTTGGGTATTATCGTTTTTTGAGGTTTCGCGCGCGCACGCAATTTTAAGGCTTGACATGTTTAGTGTCTTTTTACTCGACGTGACCCCGTCTTTTATATTTTACCAAAAAATTGGGTAATAATAAATGTTTTATCATTTAATATAGGGGAAACTGTTTTTTTTTTTAAAAGTTTGGTAATTTTTCCTTAATATAGTAAAAAAATAAAACCCCCAGTGGTGAATAAATACCACCAAAATAAAGCTCTATCTGTCCCCAAAAAAGGGTATAAAATTCATTTCAGTACAGCGCTGCATGACGGAATAAATGTCAGTTAAAATACCGCAGCGCTGAATACTGAAAAATGGCCTGGATGGGAAGGGGGTTTAACACCGCGGATGTCAACTGGTTAAGGCGTTTTGAAAGAACTGAATGTAATTAGATCACGGTGTGCCCTGTTCTGTTTTAATTAGTTTTAAAAGCAGAAATGGTTTTGAGGCTGGAAAAAAACTATCCATAATTTAACATAACTAAACAAATCCACGTGTTGGCAGAATTTGTGCATTCATTCAGGCACATGTGTTTCCAGTATGCCCTGAGCACAACCTAGTTCAAACCAGAGAGAGCCTCATTGTCTGCCGTGACTCACATGTGTTATTGTTTTGTAGTGTAGAGAACATGTAGGAAAACCTCTGAGACCATAGACAGACCTCCCTCTTTCTCCCTAGAAGAGAAAACAGCCATTTCATTTTGTATGTGTCAGCATTGGTTAGGACAGGTATAGATGGCCATTGAAGAGCTTGGTATAGATGGTACATTGGAGAAGCATCCTGAGATCCACCTGTATTGGGTTGTGTTCACTGCAGCCCCGCAATGCTTATATTTTTTCATATGCAAGTGCCAGGCGACATTACAGGTGCCCGGAATCTCCCAATCCCCCAATTTGACCAGGAACATAGTGTAATATATTAAAATGAAGGCCATTTAATTATTTGTTTTTCTTGTAAAACTGGAAAATACTTCTTTTGCTTGGAAAATAGATTTTTTTCGGCTTCGGCACCCGTGTTCTTTTGCTGCAGCTGTCATTTGGTACCAGAACAGCTAATATGGTATATGTTGGTACGGCACAACCTAGCAGTTTAGGTTATAGACAGCGGAAGCAGGGTATATGGTTTTGGTCTGGAAAGGTTGCAATTCACCTTATGAAAAATTGTACTTGCCCCTGCATTTGTTCTATGAGCAGTGATTTCACAGAAGGCATTGGCCATTGGCTGCCATGACAAGTATCTCAATAGAGCAATGAGCGAGCTTCAGCAGAGATCCTCTTAGCTCTGGTAACTTGATTCTTTGCAAACATGTGTTTTGTTATTTACATTTTTAGGGGGGACACAATAATCCCTTACCAGACCCTTGATCCGAGCAGGAGCCTGGCAGAGCAGGACAGGAGGAAGGGGGGGGAGGGGGGGTGAGCGTGCATTCCACCCACCTCCTGCACCATACCAGGCCACATGCCCTCAACATGGAGCGGGTGCTTTGCCAGGGTGGACCCCCTGGAAAAGCACCTTGTCCCCATGTCGATGAAGACACTAGAGATAGTGAGATATTGGTCAAAGCCTTAGGGTGGAAAGATAACTTGAGCAGGCGGCATAGGTGCACAAGCAGCATGAGGCACACATTCTAAGCATTGCAACAGGGATATTACTATAGAGTGTTGGGACTTGGTGCCACTGGCAGTCAATCTAAGGGTTCCCAAGCAACAGCAGGAGTAGGTATAAGGCGGAAATGGTCAGAGCCGCTTCCTAAAAAAGTTGTACCGAACCAACAAAAATAACACTGGATTCAGAGTTGACTTGGAACATCAGAATTCCTGTAATTCATTATGAATCTACAACTGGAAGGAAAAGATCAACCCTAATCTCCTCTGTACAAATATACAACTGGAAGGAAAAGCCACACAATTGACGATAGCTGGTCCAATGAATGACTGTTTCCCCTGCGTGTGACCTCATAATGATGGGGCTACAGGGGTGATTCTAAATCTGGGATACTGAGAATGTTTTCAGTGCAAAAATCACTATAGAGCTACCAAAGGAGACCGAAAGGTCAACTTTATGATTTGTCCTATGAGAACTGCCTTGCAGCACTGGGGGTCCCCGGTTCGAATCCTGGCCAGGTCACTATCTGCAAAGGAGTTTGCATGTTCTCCTTGTGCTTGCGTGGGTTTCCTCCGGGTACTCCGGTTTCCTCCCACACTCCAAAGACATGCTGGTAGGTTAATTGGCTCCTGTCTAAATTGGCCCTGTATGTATGTGAGATAGGGACCTTAGATTGTGAGCTCCTTGAGGGTAGGGACTGATGTGAATGTGCAACTATGTAAAGCGCTGCGTAAATTGTCGGCGCTATATAAATATTAGCGTTAAACATTGTGTGGCCCTTTTCTGAGGTTGGGGACCCCAGTTGAGGTCCCACTATACCTTGTAAGTTGACAACCACTGGTCTAAGAGGTAAGGATTAAGCAGAAATACTTACCTTATTCTTCACTCCCTGGGCAACCAGCGCTTTCCTCCATTCCCGGTATGTGGATGGACGCTTGAAGTACAATGCAGGACTGCTGGTCCTGCTACATGATGATGGCCGAGAGGCCGCAGCCACGTGGCTAAAGAAGAGGAACTTTGTGGTTATGCGGTGAGGAGGAAGCCTGTGTGAATGAGGAATACGGTATTTCTGCTTATTGCTTAAACTAAATGAGCATTTACCCCTTGCTGTGCTGGGGGAGGGGCACTACATCCGAATTTCTTAAAGAAATGACGGCAGTTTAACTTTAAAGAAAGGATTTGGTTGCATTTGGATTTTAAAGTGTAACAGTGACCAGGTTATGGAGATTCAAACTCAGTCATATTTGTAATGAACGTTAACTGAGCTTTAAGGAGACATTGTCAACTTGCCCTACCACAACAAAGTAAAAATATCTTTGTAAAGGGGCCGGACTTTTCAATATGTTTGCTAAGATGAAAAACACAGTCTCTGGTCAGTGATTCGGAAAGTACTGAATACAGAATACAGAATGTAAACAAGAAATACAATCTTGAACATTTGACTTACAAATATAGTGAAAGTGAAAAATAAAGCAGTGTCCCTCTGGCATATAGTACTGTCCCTAATGAGCCAACATTGTAGAGCGAGTAAGCCAAAACAATACAGTAAAGCTAGTCCTGAAAAATGGTAAATTTGGACAAAAGTCATACAATGCTGGCTGTTGTTCTCTCTCGACGCGTTTCACCAGGGTCAGGCTTTCCTCAGGAGAGGGACTTAATGCCAGGAAAGAAAGCTATGCCATGGACGCAGGAACACCTAAGCCTGGCATCAACCATCATCCCCAATGGGGACAAGGGATGACAGGAGGGGCAAGGCCATAAATCACATGCACTGAACAGATTGCTGCGTTCCCTTTATCCATGCCAGTGTACAACTAATATCCTTCCTTTTTGGTCCACCACACAGGAGGGACGCTATATAGGACTTCCTTTCTACATACAGTCCGGCGATGGCTGCATGGCATTGCTCAGGGCCGGTTTCCTGATGATGACCACACTTGACCATGCCTGAGTAATGTGTGTTGAAATGATCATTCTAAGTCTCTGCCTGCAGGGCCGGATTTACTATCCCTGCTGCCCCAAGGCCAGGTTCCTCAATGCGCCCCCCTATATGCAGGCTGCATACAAGTGATCTCGACATCGCCGAGATCACTTGTACCAAACAAGCAGTGGCTTCCCTGCTGTACATTTAGCCCTGCTTGCCCAAAGAACTACTACCTGCCCGGTGCCCAGAACTGCATGTCCCAGGCATCGGGAGATAGGAATTCCACACTCCTGCTGCCCCTCTACTCCCTGCTGCCCCAAGGCCAGGCCTGGGTTAGCCTTGTGGGAAATCCAGGTCTGTCTGCCTCAAACCCATGTGACAGGGTGACAATGCAAGAGAACAACTGGGAGACAGGGACAGAGCGTTGTCACATCAAGTGACCTTCATGGCAGGATCACCGGTTATTATTTAAATCAAAGTTGCAGATATTAAAAGTATTGTTAATGACTTTAGTGATTGGGTTTGCATCTACTTTAAATGATGCCCAACCGATCAGTGATGTGATTATTTGTTGTACTCAGGACTATAGGAAATCTTTTGCATGTTTCTACAAACAGCATTCAAAAGCAAATATTGAATTCTCTGATGTATTTGGGTCTGCTGATTCTCTAGTATAATTGCTGTCTAGTAAACTGTCCCACAATGGCTGCAGTGGATGCACAATTGTAATAGAGTTAAAGGAGAACTATGAGATGAGTGCTTTTCACTCACCTCATAGTTCTAGCCGACCTGTGACAATGAGACTGTCACAGGTTGGCTCAGTAGATCGGGAGGTGATCGAACACATACCGGCGCTCGCTCACCTCTCGATCCTGTCACGGCTCTCTGCCGTGACAGGGGAGGGGCTGGATTCCCCCCTCCCCGCTCCGATCCGCCAGCGTTGAGCAGCAGCTCGCGGTATACTGAGCCTGGGGTGACGGGAGGACACTAGTTTGTGTCCTCCCGTTACCCTAAGGAGAACTATGGGGAAAAGCCTTAACCCCATAATTCTCCTTTAAAGCAGTCCTGTACAGAGATATTAAAAATAATGCTATATATAAGACGCGGGAGGGGAAGTAGACACTGTGCATGATTCTTTACGTGATGAGAGATTCAATACTGTTTTCTATTATGTTTTTCAAAGTTTCATTTTTAAAAATGAAAACCACTAAGCAGCTATGTTATAAAAGTGACATTTTCGCCACCTAACCTTATAAACTGGGTAGATAATTGAAACTGCCTGGTATGGTTTTGAACTATTTTTTTACACCTTGAGAGTTCATTCTAAGAGCTAGCAATCCTCCCCGAAATATGGGGTCCCAACCCCTCACTGAGCACTTCTGTCCCATAGCAAGCTGGTAAGGTTTCCTAAGGACCCCTTTACAGGTTCACTAGGCGAAAATTGCTTTCATTTTACATCTCAGGGTGGGTTCTTGGTTTATTGTTGGGTAAAACAAACAGTTGGGCTCCAGACACTTTAATCCCTTCTGTAGTTTATTTGCTCACTAAACTCAATAAGGAGTGTTGGGGCACAGGATACCCAAAAGCAGGAAAACATCCCAAACCTTCTAATAGCAGCTGAATTGATAGGGGACTTTTAATAGCAGCCAGCAATTGTCCCATTGACCCTATGGGAGCAGTCACAGGTACCTTATGCAATAGGGCAATGAGGTCACCATGTGAGGTCCATAGGCAGCAGCTTCTCCAAAGCTCTCAAGGATGCTCTTCAATATAGTAGACTTCTCTGAAGATGCTCCATAGAGGTAGGCATCTTCCATAGTAGATTAGTATGCTCAATACATGTAGCCATTCTCCAAAGTACATTAAGATGCTCCATATTGGTAGCCATGTTCCATAGTAGAGTAAGATTCTCCAAACAGGTATCCATCTTCCATAGTAAATTAAGATGCTCCATACAGGTAGCCATCTTCCATAGTAAACTAAGATGCTCCATACAGGTAGCCATCCTCCATAGTAGATTAAGATGCTCCATATAGGTAGCCATTCTCCAAAGTACATTAAGATTCTCCATATTGGTAGCCATGTTCCATAGTAGAGTAAGTCTCTCGAAACAGGTAGACACCTTCCATAGTAAATTAAAATGCTCCATAGAGGTAGTCATGCTCCATTTTAAATTATGATGCTCAATACAGGTATTCATCTTCCATAATAGATTTCCTGAGGCATTAGCACAGGCCAGCACTTACATTGGGTCTTCAGCACCTGCTCCCAGCTAGGGTAAAGCCCAAGAAGAAGAGACCTCCTCATGGTTGCATCCTCACTAGGCAAAAGCTCAGAAGGGAAGTACAAGACCCTTCAAGAAGGTTGCTTCAAATATTTATCTTTCCCCTTTAGCTTACATCACTGGAATAAAACCCTGAGTGACTAAGGTAGATAAATATTCATCACTCATACAACTACTGGAGACAACATAACAGCAGCAAGCAGATATAATGTCCTTAGCTTAGGAGTAACCTAAGAAGCACAGAATATATACAAAGGCAGGGTCCCTACAAAAACAATATATTATATATTGAGATTCCACTTTATCACCCTTCCAAAATACTATAAAAATCTCACAATTGAAAAGCAAGGGCAGTACCTGTGTTCCCTGCCCTTTACCTTGAACGGGAGCATTTCAGCAATAACTAATGTTTCGTATCTTTTTAGGTGTCAGACGCCAGTGGCTCCATGAAAGTGTCTGTGGTTGCGGAGGAAAACCCATTCTCCATGGGCATGCTGCTTTCTGAAGAATGCTTCATCTTGGACCATTCCTCCGACAAAAAGATCTTTGTATGGAAAGGTCAGATTTCCGGTTTAACTAATTTCAGCGTCATACGTGACAATCAAATCGTCAAGTTTTCCATTCTGTTGTTATAATGAGCTTCTGGGTGCTCGCCGCCAACTCTGATCCAGGGGCTGAATAATGAACCGCAAGACAATTCAAACTATTGTGACAGCACAAAGAATATTCCGAGTTGTGCTGGTCATACTAATCTCAAAAGGCTTTTTTGAGTATTCAATAATGCTACGAAAAGCCTATAATAACTTATTTTTAAAGGGTCAGTCCAACTGAAACTGATATTCTTGTGTTTGATAGATGCTTGGGATTTAAAGAAGGCCATGTGTGCAGGGAGCACACAGACAAACTCGGGTGCGTGCTGGACGCACACGGAACAGCCTGGGGTGGCTGGGAGTGGTCAGAAAGGTCGGTGACCCCAAGGACCTGTCGGACAGACTGCTAAGAGAGCAGAGTGAGGGCTCACGAGGGGTGAGCAAGCGTGAGTGTCTTGAAGCTGTGGAAAGCTACCGAGCGAAGCTAAAAGACTGTCAGATGGGTGGGGTCAACTTTAAGGTGTCATTCACACAGCGTAGAGTCGGGCCGTACAGATCCGTGCAGCGTACACAGACGTATCAGGCCATTCCCGGGAGGGACAGGTGATGTGTGTGATTGCATGCACCAGCCCGTCCTTCTCTATGGGAGGACACGGCTGTACGCACACCCGAGCTACACATCTGTGCGGGTGCCCATACTCGGACGCAGACACGATGCGTCTGAGCACGGACACCCGCACGGATGTGCAACTCATCTGGGCCTATGACAGCGTACGGCTGTGTCCTCCCATAGGGAAGAACAGGCTGCTGCGTGAAATCACACGCAGCACCTGTCCCTATCGGGAACGGCCTTCGCTGTGTGAATGAGGCCGAAAACCCAAGATGCATACAAATGATATTAATTGTGTTAATTTGTTGCAGGTAAAAATGCAAATTCTGGTGAGAGGAAAGCAGCAATGAAGACAGCAGAAGAGTTTATACAGCAAATGAATTACCCTAAAAACACACAGGTACTGGGTCATATATGAAAAAATTTAACTGATGAAATGGGGTCATACCATGAGGAACATGCCATCTGCAGTCAGGGTGCAGAGAAGGATACGCTGCTGTGCCCCCGGCCTCCTCCACCTCCGCCGCCAGACCAATGCTGCTGAGTCCCGGCCCTGCCTCCTCCTCCAACTGGAGCTCTATGGGTTTTCAAGTTTCCGGTGTTTTTGTTTTGGCCAGTGTAATGCAGTATCATCTGTGACATCCTCTTGTCATTGTCCTTGTGTCGCCTTTCTGTTTTTTCTTTGTGATGTTGTATTATCTTGTGCTATCAGAGCTCCCAATCCAGGAAAACTTCACACCCCAAATTCTTCCCATGCCCTCTTCCACTTGCCACATATTTTGTAATGGCCATCACTGAGGTAGTAGAAGTTCTTGTGGTTCCTCCCCAGATGGATGGAAGTCTCCACCTCCAGCATGGACATTCCTGAATCCTCCATTTTGTTACCAAGCCTGAGGTTGCTAGGAAGAGGAGACCAGATGTTAGGCACAAAAATGCATGCAAAACGCACAAAAAGCACCTGAAAACAAATGTGTTTTGCATTTTCAGGTACTCGCATTGAAGTCTAGGGGGCCAAACCCCACTGATTCTAGCCAAAAAAAGGCTTTTGTATTTTTTCAGCAGACAGGTGGCATCACATCTCTCATGGTATGACCGGGCACTATGTAATGGGAAGCACTGTCACACTTTGGGTAACACCCAACAAATTGCTCCGGTGTGAATGGGTGGGCTAAGATCTTGCTTGCAGCTGTCAGAGCATCTTCTTGTCTGTGGTGCCATCTAGTGGTGATCACACCTAACAGCAGTTACTGTGTTCATGAGCTGTGAACCAAAGTTAAAATTACACCAGTGTGACACTTATATGCTATAAACTGAACACATATTAGGCCATAGAGAACATGCCAGCTTATGAACATGCCACGCCTGTTCTCTTTATAGTATGCCCTTATCTTCAAAAATCAGTTTTGGTGCTTTCTTTTTAAAGGGGCTTCCATTTCGCTTTCATTGTCATTGTTCAATAACTACAGTGTGTTGGTTATAATACAGTACACTTGTCATCACAGAAATATGCTGGCGGCCATTGCTGGCTTCCTTCTGAAAAATAGGATTGTGTTTTTATCATAAAATCCTTTTCTCTGAGTCCATTGAGGGACACAGCTGTAAAGAATTCTGATACTTAGGGTTATGCTGCTGCCCTCTTAGTATCAGAATTCTTCAGAGCCGTGTCTCTTGATACAGGACGATAGAGAAAATAGGATTTTGCTCTTACTGTAAAAAACACTTTTCTTGGAGAGGCAGCAGCATAACCCTAAGTATCAGACTTCTTCATAGCTGTGTCTCTCAATAGACGATTAGACATGTGCGATTCGTTTCGTTACGAATCGAAATTCGTACGAATTTTCCTGATTTGTAAATTCGGAAGCATCCGAAATCCGAATTGCAGTTTCCGAATTATATCCGAAATACGAAATTCCGTTAACGAATTTCGGATCCGAATTTCTTTGAAACAGGAACTAATATTACCCCTGTAAATGAGGTTAAACAACATGACAAGATTTTTTTTTTAATCCGAAATACGGATCCGCTGCTGCTGAGGGTTGCATTACAATACACAGGCAGGAAATACGAAATTCCATTGACGGAATTTCATTCCGTTACGAACATTCGTTATATTGAAATTAAAAAGCAAAGTACATTTATATTGGAGTTGATGGTAGTTTTTTTTTTTTATCCGAAATAAGAAATTCGGATCCGGAATCCATTAACGGAATTCGTATTTCGGATATAAAAACAACTACCACATCGACTCCAATATTAACAAAGGTATTTTTGCTTTTTAACTTCATCATAACGAATGTTCGTACAGTCACGAAAATGTGCCGAAACTAACGAAAATTCGTATTTCGTACAAATCCGAATTGAGTTTCGGGTACGAATACGAAATAACGGATATTCCGAAACGGAACGAAAAGAAACAGAACAAATTTTTTGACGGCTCACAAGTCTATAGACGATAGAGAAATACTATTTGCCTGGCTGCATCTGGTTGGACCTGGATTCGAGCAGCCTTTTTTGCTCTACATTTGGAGAACTGTTCCATTCATGAACTGGTAAAATATGTCCTAGACCCACCACCAGTTCACTTCTTAGTTGGGAGAGCTCAAACTCCGGTAGTATTAAGTCCAGGACCACTGATAGGGGGGTATAGACAGTAGTCCCCTACCAGGCCCCATCGAGTCAGCAAGAGGGCCCTTCCATTCACAACCCTCCTATTCTTGGCCACATGTGATATGGCAATCCATTATGTGGGTTGTCATGTTTGAGAATTGGTGGGGGTGGACTAGGGTTGCCACCTTTTCTTCAAATGAAACCCGAACACTCTAGCGCTGTGCGCAGCAATTTTTTTTTTCTTAGAGGAGGGAGCGAGGAGAGGCAGCCAGGAGAGGAAGTAAAGAGACCAACTACAAATCCCAGCAATACATTATACAGCAATACAAAATAATATGAAGCTACATACTGTTGTTCTGGGTTGGCGCCCTGGTGTCTCCAGGTGGCCTGTGCGCGCTCTCAGGTGGCCTGCGCGGGCTCTCAGGTGGGCTAGGGGATTCTCAGGTAGGCTGTCTGGGCTATGGTGTCTCGCCAGAGGTCCGCAGGTGGGCAGCACGGTGTCAGGGAGCCAGAAGAGGAGAAGGAGGCGGAGGAGCAATAACAGATGCAGCTGCCGAGGTCCCCGGCATGCATGATCTTGGACAGCATCTGCCTGAAACCCGGATCTTCCTCTGAGCTGCGGGCACCTGTACACAGGCACAGGCTGCCCGCAGCTCAGAGGAAGATCTGATTTCAGGCCGATGCAACTGCCCGAGATTGTGCTTGGCAGGGACCTCTGCAGCTGCATCTGTCAGAAAATGTAAAGTGCCGGTGTCGGCACTGAGTGTCTTGTGTCCGGGTGTCATCTGGCTGGACACCCGGACACAAGACTCCAAAACCAGACTGTCCAGGTGAAAACCGGACAGGTGGCGACCCTAGGGTGGACTCTTTGGCAGTGCTGGCTAGCAGGAGATATGGTGGCACACAGAATAGTTCGAATGAGGTGGGCAGTGTGAGCGGAGGATTCCCTGGCAGGATAAGTGAGGAGGATCAGTACATGTCCATTCTGCTATAGGCTAGATGTCATGGGGGAAGGCAGTATTTTTGTACTGGGACCGGGCATGGAAGGCTTAGTCTCCTTTTGGGAAGTCTGTACAGGGTCCCATAATTTCTAATATTGGCTCTGGCTAAGTCTATTTGGACCTACAGTAAGTTAAGTCTAAATACATCAGAGTGAGGTGGTGCTCCTCATAAGGTCATGGGCTACCCTATCTTTACAATACACAATCATCTACTTCTAGGATGGGCAAATTACAGAGAAAAGGTTAGAGAAGTGGACTGGCAAGCTTCTACTTGTTCACATCTACCCTACGATTGCCTGTGGTTAATCTTTCCATTGGAAGTGCATGATAAGTTTGTTAGAATTTGCTCATTACCAAAAATTACCAAAATTGAATTATAAAAAAACTGTACATTGGCATGACCAAGATGGTTTGTGAAGAAGTTTAAGAGAAAACTAGACTTTCACAGTTGTACTTTTTTCTAGATTCAAGTGATTCCAGAGGGAGGGGAAATGCCGATCTTCAAGCAGTTCTTCAAAGACTGGAGAGACAAGGACGAAAGCGACGGCTTCGGAAAGGTTTACGTCACTGAGCGAATTGCTCAAATTCAGCAAGTGGATTTTGATGCCACTAAGCTGCATGAATCTCCTGAAATGGCGGCTCAGCACAACATGGTGGATGATGGATCAGGGAAGGTCGAGGTAAAAGCATTGGCGTTAAGGAAATATGCAGTAAAAGATTATACAATTTTAACCAGTCCGGAATGGGCATTTTTCAAAATCTGAATATTGCAGACTTACTTCTCAGGGCTGACTGTGTGTGCTGTTATTCCGTTGTATTCTCTCCCAGTTAGAGCAGAATTGTCAGGCTGTAAGGTCCCCCATGGATGTTGATGTGTATCCTATCTGAGCATAGTGCTGATACCTGACACACACTCTGGGCTATTAAAAGAGTAAAAAAACTGATAAAATTGCCTGAAATCGCGACGGCACCAGTTTTCAACTATATTTTAACAGCACTAAGCTCAGACAGGGCACTTATGCTCTGACAGGGAGAGAATGCAATCAGTGGCATCACTAGGGGGGTGCAGCCCGCACCTGGGTGACACCATTGAAGGGGTGACACCAAAATGATTCACAGTCATTTTGGTGTCACCCCCCTCTGAAAAGTCGGGCACTCGGTCATGGACCGAGAGCCGGACAGTTGCAGGAGAGAGGAGGGGACCCGGCGGCATACCTTATCTTGCAGGGTGAACGTCCCCTCCTCTCTCTGCCATCGTCCATCACCAAGATGGCTGCCGGCAGGTATCACCAAGATGGTCTCGCATGACGTCACGGTGGGGTGTCACCCGATACCTGCTCCGGTGACGCCTCGCCTCGGGACGCCTGTGAATGCAATACAAGTAGATTTGTAACTGTTTCTCTTTAAACAATCAATATGCAAAACAACTTCTGTAAGAACTATAAAAAGTGTAGTCAGAGATGTACATCTAGATTTCAGACGCCTGTCATATTTAAAGATTTTCAATATCAAATTCATTAGTCTGTTCATCCTAAACTGATATGTCAGTTATCAATAGGCTCTTGTAGGCTAGCCCATTCTTTTACTTAGTACTTGATTAGTGGATGCATAGACAACCTGTTCCACAGAGGACTGACTAAAGGTGCACTTAGATAGTCTCTGGTGCACTGTTTGTCCATCCTAAACTCATAAAACATCTATCAGAGTGGGCTCTGCTAGACTAGTTCATTCCTTGGATTCAGATTCTAGTTCATTTGTTGACTCAGATAATCCCAAGTACAGTGCTTGGACACTTACCTTTAAAGGGCCTAACTTTTTCCATCCTGTTACCTTCTTTCCCTAAGATTTGGCGTGTGGAGAGCAATGGACGAATCCCAGTTGACCCGAGCACATACGGACAATTCTATGGAGGAGATTGTTACATAATTCTCTACACTTATCCAAAGGGACAGATTATCTACACTTGGTGAGTTTTTTATACATTACACCCAACATACACGTGGAAAATGTACAGAATATAACCTGACCTATTATCACAGAAAATGTCATTGTTGGCTTTATCGGCATTTGAAGCCCAAGTCTTGAGAGACAAAGGCCTCTCTGAATCAGTGATTCTCATGCTGTTAAAAGCAAGCAAATCTACCTCTCACAAGGTCTAACATCGCACAAAGAATGCATACTTCACCTAGTGCAAGGAAAGAAGTTTTCACCCCATGGAAAGACTCCTAGCTTTTTGCAATCAGGTCTGAGTCAGCATTTGGCCTTGAGTACCATCAAAGTGCAAATTTTGGTGCTTGAAATCTTATTTCAAAAGACTGCGTGCCCTCCAACTCTTTAGTTAAGACTTTTGTACGGAGTGTTTCTCATGTAGCTCTCCTTGTGCAACCACCTGTGACACTGTGGAATTTGAATGTGGTTCTCTTGGCACTTAAAAAAAGTCTCTTGAACTGATCAGGGATATTCCACTTTCCATCCTTACTCAAAAGGTTGCCTTCCTTTTTACCATCACCTCTGGGAATCGTGTGTCTGAGCTGGCAGCTGTGTCCTGCAAAGAACCATTTTTGGTTTTACATAAGAATAAAGTGGGGTGGAAGCTCAGAACCCCCTTCCTTCCCAAGGTAATTTTGACCTTCCACTTCAATCAGGACTTTGTTCTTCCATCTCTCTGCCCAGCTCCAGTACATCAGAAGGAGATTTTCCTTCATTGTCTGGATGTAGTTTGTGCTGTGTGGGTTTTCCTCATTGCCACTGCTTCTATTAGAAAAACTGATTGACCTTTTGTGATTCCTGATGGTCCCCATAAAATGGAACCAGCTTCTTGCTCCACCATTTCTTAGCAGCTCTAGCAAATCATTAGTCAGATTCATGGTCCTACAGATCGGGTTCCACCCTTTCCTGTAAAAGATCTGTGAGCGCTTCTTGGGCTTTTTGGCATCAGACAACTGCTTACCAGATTTTCAAGACCGTCACCTGGTCTTCTGTTCCCATATTCTCTGAGTTTTACCAGCCGGCTTTGGATATAAGGTTCATTTAGGTGGTTCTTTGAGCTGCAGACTGCTCCTAGTTTTACTGTAGTTATTATGTGGGCCCTAGCGTTTTGTTTGCTGTGTTGTCCACTCCTCAGTTGGATGGCTTTAGGATGATCCAATTATTCTGAATCCGTTATTCCTAAATCAACAACAAAGGGTAATAGGATTTTTGTAGTTTTCTGGAGTTCATTAAAGGCACAGGTCCCACCACTCGGTGTTTGTGATCTACTCCTGGTACTCCTGTTCTACAAAGCTGATGAAGTTAAATAAATGTTCTTCCTGAAATGGTAGATGATACCTAACCTCTCTTATTGCCAATGTCTTCAGTCTCTGCTGTACTGTATGAGAAATTGCCCCTGAGTCTGACACTTCTAGGTGTTGTAATTGCTTGGTTTTCCTCAATGCTATATGGTTCCACCTGCAGGCCATTACATAAATACAGGACACAGTAGTGATATAGGGCCTGGCGGAGCAAGCCATTGAGCATGAGCACAATGGGGGACCAATCATCCAGCAGTCCTGGAAATGTGAGATGCTGAAGATTCTTTGGACTATGGTTTCTCTTCATCTCGGCAGAGATCACTGGTCAGAGGTGGATATTAAAGGTATTTTATGCAGGGAGACAGCTAATATCCAATCATTGTTTTAGACACATGGTCACTTTAAATATCCTTTACCAAAAATATGTTATTGTAATTAGTCAAGCCCCTACTTGGAAAAGTGTAGCAACTAGGCAGCATGGTCCTGGAGCCAGGTTCTGGTCCTTATACACGATCCTGCAAAGGTTCTCCCTGAGTCAGCAAGGGTTCTTTCTGCTAGGCCAAACCATTAACAGTTCTATGGATTCATGAAACCTGCAGAGCCTCTACTCCACCCTGTTTTCATTAAGCTGGTCCTCAGTGATGTATTTAGACCTTGGACTGCCCTATGATGACCAAGATCCAACCACCAAACTGGAGTTTTAGGAAAATGACTGCTAGAGTGTGCATCTGCATTATATGCCATGTGGACCATCCAACAAGGCAAAACAGGGGTGACGTTTCCTGAACCTAAGGAACTTTCTGACTTCCAATATCCCCTGCTTCTCTTTATCCTATAGTCCTCTTTCTGTCTATAGCCAGCAATGTTGAGAAGTGGACAGAGAAAATTATATCAAGGCTTGTTGCTGCTGCTCATGCTAGGCATTGGCTCACATAATTCCAACTTATGCTACAATGAGGCAAAAAACAGATCCAGTCACAACAGTCCTCTAAATGAATGAGAACCTTCACAGACATTCCTCTAAATTGTTCCACAAGCATATGAGGAATCAAACCAATTAAGATAGGGCTTCCAGTTCTTTCAGAGGATATCATCTTTACATGTAATATGGCACTCAGAGGTAAAGACAGAATTATGGTTTGGAGGCACAATATCGCCTTCACCTGGTTATATATACTCTGTCTCGGCACTTGCCATACCAGGGGGTATGTCCTATTCTTTACCTTTAGAGGAATAGACCACATGCCTTTTGCTAATTCCCTAGCAAACCCCCTCCCCGAGGGACCCCAGCTTGCGCCTGTCATCACAAGGGCCTACAGGTGGTCTTCTCACTTGTCACCCTGCCTGTTCTCTTCCAGTTGCTGATAATGCCTGCCACCCCTAGACACCCTCTTCTAGGCTTTGATGCAATTATACCAAACCAACTCAACAACTACAGTAGATGCCATCCAGTAGTCTCTTCCCTCAGTCACATATCAGAAAAAGTTCCTACAAAGCCAGAACTCCGATGTTTCCGTACATCTGTATGGAGAACCTATCACCCTTTTACATGAAATATCAACATGAACAATATGATGCAAATATGTGGACATATGTGTATGAAAACCATGTTACATAACTGTATAGTATGTTTACATGACAACATTTCTCTTTCTGCTTATTCCCTTTAGATACAATAAGCTGTTTCTTTAACAAATATTTGCACGCGTTAACCGACACTGCGTTTATTTTGTCTAGGCAAGGAGCTCAGGCCACTCGTGATGAACTAACCACATCGGCTTTTCTAACCGTGCAGCTGGATCGCTCTCTGGGGGGACAAGCTGTCCAGGTCGGTTTTGCTCTCAGAGCAGTAATGCACAGCTTGCAGCTATTGTACAGGTCTATTTGGGAGTGTGATGTAAGGTTAGATGCGTGCAGACATTTGCTTTTCACGTGCAAGCGTTTGGCAGATGTATGTAGTTGGTCTCATGTGGTAAGAAAGCACTTTTTTTTTAAAGCTGAACTCCAGAAATCTTTTTTGTTGTGTGTGTAAACACCACGAATGACATGTGACCTCGAATTAAGGCGATCCTCGGTCCGGTTGGCTGTTGCTTAGTGCAAAAATCATAGCTGCCTTGATGCCAGATTCCACACAAAGCGCTATACTTCTGGTGCCGTGGGGATGAACAGGTGTGGCTGCGACAGAGAAGGGTTCCAGTCATATACCCGCCCCACTTCTCCCTATCTCCATTCACAAAAAGCCTTGTATTCAATAACAGCATTCAAATCATTGTAGTAAGTGAACCTGTCATATAAAGAACCTAACATCAGCATATAAGCACTTAATATTGTGATTTCATCCTTAGCAAAACATGTAGCAATTATATTTCTTTATCAAACAACTATTTTAAATTAGTAACGCACATTGATAACAATCTCAGTATTTATTTCAGTTGGTGTGCTTGGAATGATTGCAGATAGATAGATAAAGAGAAGAGAGAGGGAGATCGATAATAGAGAGAGAGATCGATAATAGAGAGAAGAGAGAGGGAGATCAATAATAGAGAGAAGAGAGAGAGAGATCGATAATAGAGAGAGAGAGATCGATAATAGAGAGAGAGAGAGAGAGATCGATAATAGAGAGAGAGAGATCGATAATAGAGAGAAGAGAGAGAGATCGATAATAGAGAGAAGAGAGAGAGGAGAGAGAGATCAATAATAGAGAGAAGAGAGAGAGAAGAGAGAGAGATCAATAATAGAGAGAAGAGAGAGAAAAGAGAGAGAGAGAGATCGATAATAGAAAGAAGAGAGAGAGATCGATAATAGAGAGAAGAGAGAGAGAGATCGATAATAGAGAGAAGAGAGAGAGAAGAGAGAGAGAGATCGATAATAGGGAGAAGAGAGAGAGAGAAGAGAGAGAGATCGATAATAGAGAGAAGAGAGATCGATAATAGAGAGAAGAGAGATCGATAATAGAGAGAAGAGAGAGAGAAGAGAGAGAGATCGATAATAGAGAGAAGAGAGAGATCGATAAAAGAGAGAAGAGAGATAGATAATAGAGAGAAGAGAGAGAGATCGATAATAGAGAGAAGAGAGCGAGATCGATAATAGAGAGAAGAGAGAGAGAAGAGAGAGATCAATAATAGAGAGAAGAGAGAGAGATCGATGAGAGAGAGATTGATAATAGAGAGAAGAGAGAGAGATCGATAATAGAGAGAAGAGAGAGAGATCGATAATAGAGAGAAGAGAGAGAGATCGATAATAGAGAGAAGAGAGAGAGATCGATAATAGAGAGAAGAGAGAGAGATCGATAATAGAGAGAAGAGAGAGAGATCGATAATAGAGAGAAGAGAGAGAGATCGATAATAGAGAGAAGAGAGAGAGATCGATAATAGAGAGAAGAGAGAGAGATCGATAATAGAGAGAAGAGAGAGAGATCGATAATAGAGAGAAGAGAGAGAGATCGATAATAGAGAGAAGAGAGAGAGATCGATAATAGAGAGAAGAGAGAGAGATCGATAATAGAGAGAAGAGAGAGAGATCGATAATAGAGAGAAGAGAGAGAGATCGATAATAGAGAGAAGAGAGAGAGATCGATAATAGAGAGAAGAGAGAGAGATCGATAATAGAGAGAAGAGAGAGAGATCGATAATAGAGAGAAGAGAGAGAGATCGATAATAGAGAGAAGAGAGAGAGATCGATAATAGAGAGAAGAGAGAGAGATCGATAATAGAGAGAAGAGAGAGAGATCGATAATAGAGAGAAGAGAGAGAGATCGATAATAGAGAGAAGAGAGAGAGATCGATAATAGAGAGAAGAGAGAGAGATCGATAATAGAGAGAAGAGAGAGAGATCGATAATAGAGAGAAGAGAGAGAGATCGATAATAGAGAGAAGAGAGAGAGATCGATAATAGAGAGAAGAGAGAGAGATCGATAATAGAGAGAAGAGAGAGAGATCGATAATAGAGAGAAGAGAGAGAGATCGATAATAGAGAGAAGAGAGAGAGATCGATAATAGAGAGAAGAGAGAGAGATCGATAATAGAGAGAAGAGAGAGAGATCGATAATAGAGAGAAGAGAGAGAGATCGATAATAGAGAGAAGAGAGAGAGATCGATAATAGAGAGAAGAGAGAGAGATCGATAATAGAGAGAAGAGAGAGAGATCGATAATAGAGAGAAGAGAGAGAGATCGATAATAGAGAGAAGAGAGAGAGATCGATAATAGAGAGAAGAGAGAGAGATCGATAATAGAGAGAAGAGAGAGAGATCGATAATAGAGAGAAGAGAGAGAGATCGATAATAGAGAGAAGAGAGAGAGATCGATAATAGAGAGAAGAGAGAGAGATCGATAATAGAGAGAAGAGAGAGAGATCGATAATAGAGAGAAGAGAGAGAGATCGATAATAGAGAGAAGAGAGAGAGATCGATAATAGAGAGAAGAGAGAGAGATCGATAATAGAGAGAAGAGAGAGAGATCGATAATAGAGAGAAGAGAGAGAGATCGATAATAGAGAGAAGAGAGAGAGATCGATAATAGAGAGAAGAGAGAGAGATCGATAATAGAGAGAAGAGAGAGAGATCGATAATAGAGAGAAGAGAGAGAGATCGATAATAGAGAGAAGAGAGAGAGATCGATAATAGAGAGAAGAGAGAGAGATCGATAATAGAGAGAAGAGAGAGAGATCGATAATAGAGAGAAGAGAGAGAGATCGATAATAGAGAGAAGAGAGAGAGATCGATAATAGAGAGAAGAGAGAGAGATCGATAATAGAGAGAAGAGAGAGAGATCGATAATAGAGAGAAGAGAGAGAGATCGATAATAGAGAGAAGAGAGAGAGATCGATAATAGAGAGAAGAGAGAGAGATCGATAATAGAGAGAAGAGAGAGAGATCGATAATAGAGAGAAGAGAGAGAGATCGATAATAGAGAGAAGAGAGAGAGATCGATAATAGAGAGAAGAGAGAGAGATCGATAATAGAGAGAAGAGAGAGAGATCGATAATAGAGAGAAGAGAGAGAGATCGATAATAGAGAGAAGAGAGAGAGATCGATAATAGAGAGAAGAGAGAGAGATCGATAATAGAGAGAAGAGAGAGAGATCGATAATAGAGAGAAGAGAGAGAGATCGATAATAGAGAGAAGAGAGAGAGATCGATAATAGAGAGAAGAGAGAGAGATCGATAATAGAGAGAAGAGAGAGAGATCGATAATAGAGAGAAGAGAGAGAGATCGATAATAGAGAGAAGAGAGAGAGATCGATAATAGAGAGAAGAGAGAGAGATCGATAATAGAGAGAAGAGAGAGAGATCGATAATAGAGAGAAGAGAGAGAGATCGATAATAGAGAGAAGAGAGAGAGATCGATAATAGAGAGAAGAGAGAGAGATCGATAATAGAGAGAAGAGAGAGAGATCGATAATAGAGAGAAGAGAGAGAGATCGATAATAGAGAGAAGAGAGAGAGATCGATAATAGAGAGAAGAGAGAGAGATCGATAATAGAGAGAAGAGAGAGAGATCGATAATAGAGAGAAGAGAGAGAGATCGATAATAGAGAGAAGAGAGAGAGATCGATAATAGAGAGAAGAGAGAGAGATCGATAATAGAGAGAAGAGAGAGAGATCGATAATAGAGAGAAGAGAGAGAGATCGATAATAGAGAGAAGAGAGAGAGATCGATAATAGAGAGAAGAGAGAGAGATCGATAATAGAGAGAAGAGAGAGAGATCGATAATAGAGAGAAGAGAGAGAGATCGATAATAGAGAGAAGAGAGAGAGATCGATAATAGAGAGAAGAGAGAGAGATCGATAATAGAGAGAAGAGAGAGAGATCGATAATAGAGAGAAGAGAGAGAGATCGATAATAGAGAGAAGAGAGAGAGATCGATAATAGAGAGAAGAGAGAGAGATCGATAATAGAGAGAAGAGAGAGAGATCGATAATAGAGAGAAGAGAGAGAGATCGATAATAGAGAGAAGAGAGAGAGATCGATAATAGAGAGAAGAGAGAGAGATCGATAATAGAGAGAAGAGAGAGAGATCGATAATAGAGAGAAGAGAGAGAGATCGATAATAGAGAGAAGAGAGAGAGATCGATAATAGAGAGAAGAGAGAGAGATCGATAATAGAGAGAAGAGAGAGAGATCGATAATAGAGAGAAGAGAGAGAGATCGATAATAGAGAGAAGAGAGAGAGATCGATAATAGAGAGAAGAGAGAGAGATCGATAATAGAGAGAAGAGAGAGAGATCGATAATAGAGAGAAGAGAGAGAGATCGATAATAGAGAGAAGAGAGAGAGATCGATAATAGAGAGAAGAGAGAGAGATCGATAATAGAGAGAAGAGAGAGAGATCGATAATAGAGAGAAGAGAGAGAGATCGATAATAGAGAGAAGAGAGAGAGATCGATAATAGAGAGAAGAGAGAGAGATCGATAATAGAGAGAAGAGAGAGAGATCGATAATAGAGAGAAGAGAGAGAGATCGATAATAGAGAGAAGAGAGAGAGATCGATAATAGAGAGAAGAGAGAGAGATCGATAATAGAGAGAAGAGAGAGAGATCGATAATAGAGAGAAGAGAGAGAGATCGATAATAGAGAGAAGAGAGAGAGATCGATAATAGAGAGAAGAGAGAGAGATCGATAATAGAGAGAAGAGAGAGAGATCGATAATAGAGAGAAGAGAGAGAGATCGATAATAGAGAGAAGAGAGAGAGATCGATAATAGAGAGAAGAGAGAGAGATCGATAATAGAGAGAAGAGAGAGAGATCGATAATAGAGAGAAGAGAGAGAGATCGATAATAGAGAGAAGAGAGAGAGATCGATAATAGAGAGAAGAGAGAGAGATCGATAATAGAGAGAAGAGAGAGAGATCGATAATAGAGAGAAGAGAGAGAGATCGATAATAGAGAGAAGAGAGAGAGATCGATAATAGAGAGAAGAGAGAGAGATCGATAATAGAGAGAAGAGAGAGAGATCGATAATAGAGAGAAGAGAGAGAGATCGATAATAGAGAGAAGAGAGAGAGATCGATAATAGAGAGAAGAGAGAGAGATCGATAATAGAGAGAAGAGAGAGAGATCGATAATAGAGAGAAGAGAGAGAGATCGATAATAGAGAGAAGAGAGAGAGATCGATAATAGAGAGAAGAGAGAGAGATCGATAATAGAGAGAAGAGAGAGAGATCGATAATAGAGAGAAGAGAGAGAGATCGATAATAGAGAGAAGAGAGAGAGATCGATAATAGAGAGAAGAGAGAGAGATCGATAATAGAGAGAAGAGAGAGAGATCGATAATAGAGAGAAGAGAGAGAGATCGATAATAGAGAGAAGAGAGAGAGATCGATAATAGAGAGAAGAGAGAGAGATCGATAATAGAGAGAAGAGAGAGAGATCGATAATAGAGAGAAGAGAGAGAGATAGATAATAGAGAGAAGAGAGAGAGATCGATAATAGAGAGAAGAGAGCGAGATCGATAATAGAGAGAAGAGAGAGAGAAGAGAGAGATCAATAATAGAGAGAAGAGAGAGAGATCGATGAGAGAGAGATTGATAATAGAGAGAAGAGAGAGAGATCGATAATAGAGAGAAGAGAGAGAGATCGATAATAGAGAGAAGAGAGAGAGATCGATAATAGAGAGAAGAGAGAGAGATCGATAATAGAGAGAAGAGAGAGAGAAAAGAGAGAGAGAGAAGAGATAGATAGATAGTAGAGAGAGAGATCATTTTAATTCTACCACCCAGGCCATGCTTCTGCCCCAACCTCAGCGCCCATTTTGTGAATAGAATTTATAACCACAGATGCTGCTAAGCTGGAATTTGCACTGCCCATCCTGCCCAAGTGGCGCACATATTGTGAGACAATAGCATATAGTGATCATCCACCGCTGCAGTAGGACGCAGGGTCATGGGTTATACTCCATGCATCCTGACACAAACCAACACTTTCACTAGCAGAGGCAAAGAATCTGCCCCAGAACTGGGCACACGAGGCAGAGAAAATTATTTTGCAGCATTTAAGTTCAAGTTATATTCACAATATTGTTGCGGGGGAGAAGGTGGGAAGCTGTAGGGGATTTCATCTGCAAAGTGCATTTATCCTTTGAATGTATGGTTTTAGCAGCCCCCTGACCCTCACCCGATCAGTATTCAGTGCTGGAGATACAGAATGGTTAGGAAATTGCCGGTTATCCTTTCTCGTGTCTTCTTCCCAGTTACATAAAATTGTTTTGAAAAGCAGCAAGGTCATAAACCAGCTGGAGAGGTTACATTGTATTTTTCCATGGTTACCGGGACCAGGAAAGAAAGACCTCTGTGCTGCAGAATGTATCGGAGATGGTCCTATCTCTCTTTATATGATGGTTATTGGTAATAACTGGGGCAATGTGATACTTTTTTAGCAATCTATGGAGATTTCCGGGCAAAAAAAGTGCAGAAATATATTAACTGAAACATTGACAAATGTATTTGTAACCTTCTCTAACTATAATTTCCTCCTTTACTTTATTATCACACATCAGATAAAATATCATATCAAGCAGTAGACGAGGTCATGACTACACATGGATTTGTGATATAGTGTGTGGAACCCCCACAAAATTGGGTTATTTTTTTCTAAATTAAAGTTGCTGTCTGGGCAAAAAACACATAATCAGCACATTTCTGCAATACATGAATATGTTCACATGTGTTATCCTTTTTAAAAGCAACCCTGATAAGGGTGGGGGCTGAGGGGGGGGGGGGGTTCTG